GACCACAACGTTGACCTTCACGAGGTGAGAAACGAGCAAGCTGCTGGTCATGTACTCGACAAAGACCAAGACATTCACTGCTCGTAGTGACGGTAACACTGCCACTTCTGACTCGTGTCCGTAATACTGGTCCCAACACCAATGAAGCTTCCGTCCGTTTTCAAAGCGAGCTTCTCCCTGGAAGAAGATATGAGTTCAGTACCTGAACATGTGAGCACTTAAAATCTTAAGATCTGGGCGCAGTCGTGACTAACGATAGAAGCTGTAAACCAGGCATCACCAGGAGCATAGGATTAGTAGCCTTTTCTGGAAGGCTTCAGGGAATATGAAGTGACCGAACAGTGTCAATGAAGACGACAGTTATGTTGGAAGCAACGGTCTTTTCCATACTCACGTATGAAAAATGACTGCAATCAAAAGATGCTAAGAAAATCAACTGGACATGCTTCAACGTCGATACCTTCGAATCATTCTCAACGTTCGCTGGGACCACAGAATGTCGATCGATCGTCGACTGAAAACCACCGAACTGAAGAACCTGTCGGAAGAGCTAAGAGATCAAAGACTTTCGTCATTCCATAAAATTGCCCAAAAGAATGAAGATATCCAGAAAATGCTGCCTTAATCAGAGCCCAAACCCTGCCGAAGGAAATGCGACGGCCAAATGAAAAGCTCGGAAGATCCTACTGTTCACGAAGAGGAGTAGTTTTAAATTAATCTGAAAAAGATTTCATTTCTGTTCATGGACATCATAAGTCAAGAGTCAGTTGAGCTATTACAGCTGTAATACTATGGATGATGATGACAAGAACATAGGGTTCCAGTTCCGTTGATCGTAGTTAACCGTTTCAAGAAAATTAATGATCTTTTTTGGTGCTGGCAAAGAGCATTCCATAGTTTAAAATGAGGACCGAAGTATGGCTGTAAGTTTCAGTGCTTCTGAGTTGTCACATAAGAGTGATATACAGCTGCAAGTACTTGTTCATCACAGCTTTCCTGTCCCTACTTCTGTATTCAAACTAGATGATCGTGAGAAGGATCAATTATTGGAGGGAATCAGTGGGTGCTAACAACAAAGAAATATTCACCAAGACTAAAATTCCAACTTGGCAAGATGATATCACACATTTGCTGTCCGTCTTTTCAATAGAAGATAGAATTTGTTCGCAAAATTGCAAGAAATATTTACTTTTTGCTGAGTACTAATCCACACTATTACTGTGCAGACAATATGGACAAACTGAAACAAGCAATATCCCTCTGGACAAGTTTGCTAAGATGTGAATCTTGAACCACTGGAATGCTGCTAGTTGCAGAACTGCCACTTTCATTAGTGAAAACTTTCAGCTAGTTATCTCACTGGATTTACCTCGACAGCCGTACTGTAAAGAAGCGCTGGAGGCAACCAATAACAAATCCATAGACGAAAATCTTGTCATACTGCATGAGTTATTGTACAATTCAAGAGGGAAACTGCACATCGTTATGGCTAAGAGACGTTGAGAAATTCTTAATGAGAATAACTGAACACTTTCCCATTGATAATCCTATTTCTTGCTGGATTTTTTGCATCTTCGTCAAAATTCAAGTGCTTATGCAAGAAGTGACGAAGCATACGAATCAGCGAAAATATCTAGACAGACATTCCCACTCGAATCTCATAGGAGTAGACAGTGCAGGAATAGAGGCACTATCATTTTGACGCCTTGTTGGTCGTTTATTCATTCACTTGCTACATCAATAGCGTTTCAGCGCCAATGCTCCTTATATGCTTTTGCATAATATCACAAACAGGTTTCTGCTCAGACATGTCTGAATAAGCACGCTGCTTAAACGACCTCCTTAGACGAGTAAGAAAAAGCTCTGCAACACGTTAGGTGCTTATCAACGCATTGTGGCACACAAACCCATATTTAAGACACTAAGAACTCGTGTTTGTAATGCTTGGACTTAATGCTTAATGGTGCTGTTCACTTAGTACTACGTAAAAGGGTTGTGTTTATCATAATGAATGCTAAAGCTTAGATTGAACGTGCCAAATCACGCTCATCAGTCCTGAAACTGGAAGCATTTGTGCTGCGAACCATGCCTGAGAAGCGTCATGTATGTCAGTTTGTCGAAGGAGGCCATTACCACGCGGTGAACTTTGTGATCATGACTCTGATAGACAGGGACCTGGACTCAATAAGGAGATCGCTTCCAAACAAACGCTTTAGTTTTGCAACAGTAACGAGGATCGGTATTCAGTGTCTAGAAGCCTTACAAGACATCCACCAAGCAGGTTTCGTACATCGCGACGTGAAACCGGAGAACGTCGCGATTGGCCGGCCCCCGAATCATCGAAATATTTACGTCATCGACTTCGGATTGGCTCGGCAGTACAGACTAAACAATCAACTGAGAAACGAACGGTTTCCAGCTCCGTTCCGGGGCACCCTCCGGTACGCGTCGCTCAACGCACATTTTCGAAGAGAAATTGGCCCACATGACGATATTAGCTCATTGATGTTTTCGCTGAAAGAGATGCTGTCTGGCTCCTTACCGTGGAACCATTTACACAGGGAAATGCAAATAATCGCAGCTAAAAAAAACTTCACGGTAAGTTTTTCTAAATAAAGGTTGCTCTTACCGTAATTTCGTTCTTTTCTTAGCGCGAATCAAACCCTGACGAAGATTGGCAGATATTCAGGCACATGTATGACGTGGCATCGAACAAAGTCTACAGAGAAAATGTAGACTACGGTTGGTTCTACGAACAGTTTCATCAATTAAATGAATTGCACAACATCCGCGATGACCAGCTTTATGATTGGGAAGTCAATAATCACACAGAAAAATAGATCAAAATGTACTTTCTTTAGAACTCGCTGTTTGACAACTCGTAGAATCAGTAAATTTGGACGACGCTGCTGCTGCAGTCTTTGTTACTATTTAAATGAATATGACTAGCTTAATTTACTTTCCAAGAAACTTCGGTTAAAATTTTTTTAATGTTAGATGAATGTAAACTACCACTACACCTGTTGTCAATTGCTGATGGCAATGTACAGCCTGTAATTAACTTTCCAAATAAACAAAATTTTTGACAAGTATGTCAAACACAACAATTCGCAAAATAACAGTTTCAGAATTCCTAAATTCTTAATCCAGATGCTCTTTATCTTGGAAAGCTGATCTTAGTCGTTTACAATAGTAGAAGAGCAGCCAGTTTGTAACTAATATTAAAATATTTAAAATGCATTGTATGAGTTCCATTTATCACAGGGCACAAACTTTTAATCGTCTCATGCATTGTTAATGAAGACAATAAACATGTTCATAAGTTTTTTCTCATCAAGTACTGGATGAGTTTTAACGTAATTAATAAATTGCCGCTTAAAATTAGCTAATTCCAAAGCAGACCAAATTTTCTTAATGAAAAGTTTTTCTTCGCAATCCTTGATGCATACTGCATCTCCAATTTCAGCAAGCCTTTGCTCCGCCAAAATGTAGCGAACTACTTCCTGCAGTTTTTGGTCGACACTGTATAAAAAATCAGGACCCGTGATCGGCAGAATTCGAGTGGATAGATTAGGCTTCAATGGACGGCCTTGCATCACACATGAAACGATTTCTGGAAAATGTAGTTGCATCTCATCAGACCTGTAAGTAAACAATGGATTTTCCCATCGGTTACTTGAAACAGGAACTTCAAATCGTGAATGCAATGATTTCAGAATGTCTTCACTGTACCGATCGGGCAATTTTCTGGCGTCGTTCCAGAGCAGACAATTGTCAATAGTAGCATCGAGGAACAATACACCATATGTGCATTCTGCAGCTTTTGCCAAACAGTATATTTCATAGCGATATCCCTTTATATAGTTAAGTGAGTCAAAAATAACAACACGATTAGGACCCAAAAGCCGATGAACCTCAGACTTTAAAAACGACCTCTGCTGGATTTCTTTCTTCGCGTCGAGATATATTTCTCTGTTGAAAGACTGAGCTGCTTCATCGCTGACAATGAGTGTTTCTATTGCATCTGGAAGGTTTACAAGATACTCCTTAAACATACTGGCGACCATTGACTTTCCACTGGATGGGTATCCTGTGATCAGAACAACAGACATCTTAAAATAACATGCTATAAAAACAAATAAGTATATAAACAGAACATGGATCGATATATCTTCCTCTTGACAATACAATCAAGCGCTTGAAAATTTTACTGCAAAACACTTTATTTATATCATAAAACTATGTCGTTTAACATAATTTTTCCTCATTTCCTTCAAAACTTTTTTATTGAGGTCAGTAACTGGTAGCTGTCTTTTCTTTTGCAGCTTACTGACGTTTAAACTATCGGCATAGTGCTTTTTAGGCTTCGTTTTCTTCGCGCTAGGATAACTTTGTTTCTGCTCATTTTCGCGAGTGGCCATCTGACGCATCGCTTTCTTCTTGAAAACTCGCGATACCCTGATATTTCTCTCCTCTACTACATCACCATCGAGTTTCAGAGCGAAAGGTACAGAATACGGATCCTAAAAAATAAGACATTTCACTTTAACAACTAAATGCACAGAAAAATTAAAATTCTTCTGAGGTCACACCTTAAATACGACAAAGCCAATGCCCTTGCTGTTGCCAGTTTCAGCATCTCGAATTATCCTAACCATGCGAATCTTACCACAATCTGAGAAATGCGCCCATATCTGATCTTCGGTTATATCTAAAATAATATCACGCAATTACTATTGTATCAACAACAATATTCATTCATTTTCAAAGTTTCCTATTCCTTCTGGGCATTGGAAGCAGCAGATTAAATGGGATTTTCCAACTGCTTTAGTGCTTATCAGCTGAGCAAGCGTCATGAAAAGAGCTCTAGACGCGAACATATCAGCGGATTGATATAGTTCAGCCATATTGTCTTCGACATTTCTTTGGCCACCGTCATGCCCTACTTGATCAAGGTAATCAACCTAATGATGCCTTTCAGTGACATCCATATTCGCGTTTAATCTATGCCGCAATGTGATCTGACGATCTGGAAAGAACCTCTACTTAAAAGTAAGGTTATATCGACGAACTGCCAAGTTTATCGAGCTTCATCGCACAACGATCATTCCAACGAAAATTTTGACCAGTGTTTATCAAGTAATAACAGATCAAACCTAATGCTTGAACAGGTCTGATTAATCGCTTCATAGCACCAGGTACAGAGATAATAGTATAATATACAAATTTCACTTTAATCACGCACGGTTTAACTCAATATTCAACATTAATCTGAAGGAAACTGTGTAGACAGATTCGAAGACAAACAGTTTCAACAAATCACAAACCATGCTATCACCGAATTACCAGTATAACCCGCGTAGCTGATTTGTATGTCTTTATCATATCCTAAATACAACCACTAATGAATACTACCCTCAGCGGTTTATGACAATTCGGCGCTACCGTTTTGGCGTCAATCGAAAGTCATTATCAACGTACAGTCTTCTGGCGCGAGTTTGAACCTATATGAACGCACTACGGTTATCTCGATAAACTGCCACCGTGTTGTATATCAATAAGCTCTCTGTGAATACAATGCGAAACTTTTGTCAAACTACTGAATTTCTAAGATTTCGCGTTTTACTTCATAATTCCTTTCTTCCAACTACGAAAACTCATTAAATAAGAGTTTCACTGTATATATTACCAGCTGCTTAGTAGTTACATATAATGAATAGCTCTCAGTGAAAATAATACTAAAAGTATGTCATGTATGATACCGAGTATGAAAAGTAAATACCGAGAATCACACTTGTTTTATTGCTTCGTAATTATGCTACTTCATTAATTCTGCGCAACACTACTTCGCTATTAATTAGCCATTATATTCCACACAATTTAGTTATGCCCAACTCTATGG